AGGAGGATCACTTTAGTGCAGGAGTGCAAGGCTGTAGTGAGCTATGGTCATACCTCTGTGACAGAGTGAGACTCACTCTCTAAAAAAAAAAGAGGCTGGGCACTTTGGGCGGCTGAGGTGGGAGGACTGCTTCAGCTTAGGAGTTCAAGACCAGCCTGAGCAAGAGCAAGACCTTATCTCTATAAAAACTACAAAAATTAGCTGGGTGTGGTGGTGCACACCCTCAATCTCAGTTACTTGATAGGCTGAGGCATGAGGATTGCTTAAGCTCAGGAGTTTGAGGTTACTGTGAACTATGATGATGCTGCTGTCCTCTAGCCTGGGCAAAAGAGCAAGACCCATGCTCAGTGGTTAGGGTGCCAGCCACATATACCTGGACTGGCAGGTTTGAACCTGGCCCAGACCTGCTAAAACAACAATAACAACAACAACAAAATAGGCATTATGGCAGCTACTTGGGAGGATGAGGCAAGAGAATGGCTTAAGCCTAAGAATTTGTGGTTGCTGTGAGCTGTGATTGCACAGCACTCTATTGAGGGCAACATAGTGACTCTGTCTCAAAAAAAAAAAAAAAAGCAAGACCCTGTCTCAAAGAAAGAAAGAATCCTCTAGATAGGGTCCCTCCTGTCCCAGGACCCAGAAGTCCAGGCCCCCAGCCCCTCCTCCCTCCATCTCTCATTTCTGCATCTTAGACTCCATAGGCATTTCTCCCCATCGCTCCCTTCACTTGCAGAGCTCAGGGCTTTTCTCCTGGGCTGCATGGGCCCTGGTAGCCTCTGTTCACTACTGTTGGGGTTAGCAAATTCCCCTCAAGGGCAAGTCTAGGCCTAGCTCATCCTTTTGTCTCCAGCACCCTGGGCAGGACCTGTCAAAGTGATGTGGGATACCACTGTGTGTGTCTCTCTCTCCTGAAGTCTCTGGATCTCCTCTGCTCTCTCCTGAACACCCCCCCCACACACCGCGGGGAGGTGGGGGCTGGGTGCGGGCTGCAGGAGCCTGGTGCTCAGGCAGGATGAGTTTGTGGGGGGTATGAGGGGGGACAGGGCTGGGCAGGTTTCAGGAATGTGGGAGGGACAGGCTGGCTGAGACCTGCCCGGCTTGGCGCCAGAGCCCCCTGCCCGCCCCTCGGCTCCCCTGTCTCTTGGATAGAACAATTAAGGGGGTAAGGTGGGTCACCTCAGAACAGGATAAAGTTGAGGCCCAGGATCCTGTGATGAGGGAGAAGGGGGCTGAGGGCCTGGGTTCTTGGCAGATAGAGCTGTTCTTGTCTGGAAACTACCATGCTCTCTCACCCTCTAGGCTGGCGTCCTGGCATCAGCTCTCAGTTCTTAGAACCTCCCTTCCCTTCCCTTCCCCGCCCAGCCTGGCCCAGCCCTGCCCCTGGGGACCCACATTTACCATGCTTGTGCCAGGGGCCTGGATTCCCGGGCACCCACCTCTGGCCCCAGCCTGTCCCAGAGGAGGGGATATGGGGCTAGGCTGGTGCCTTGGGCTGGATCTGTGGTGCAGATCACAAGAGTAGGAAAAGAGATTTCCTCCCCTCTACTCTCTCATCTCGCTGTCCCTCTCTCTCCAGCCCCTCAGGGCCTCTTCCCCTCCCACCACCACGCAGGTGTGTGAATTTATCTGGGGCCTCAGGAAGGGGCACTGTCACTTGGAAACACTTTGTTCCACTGTCACTGCCCAGGGCTGGTTCCAGCCCTTTACTGAGGGAGATGGATTCTTTATACAGTCTGGATTCTGAATTTAGGTTGGGGAAACTTTCAAATGTGTATGAATCACTGGTTTCCAGATGTAGGGTTCTAGCTTCTTTAAGGGGCTCCTGGCCAGGCAAAACTTGAGAACCCCTGGGGGAGGATCCCTGGAGTTTTGGTGTTCTGCATCAGGGGAAGCCTCTCGAGCCACTGGAGGCCTGGAATCCTGGGTCTGAGGTCCAGATTCTGGGGTCTGAGAAAGCAGGAGTGTGGGTACCCAGATTCCAGGGTCCGGACTGAGAAGGGGGCTGACTTCTCAGCTCATCTGCTACGGTAGTATCCCCCATCTGGCTCTCCTGCCTAACTGTCTACAGGTCTATCATTGGGAGGGGTACCTTCCAGCGCTCCCGTATCCCTCCTCCCTGGGGTCCCCAGATTTTACTTCTTGAGGTCGGCGAAAGCCCCTTCTCTTTGCTTTCCCGGGGTTTCCAGGGGGTGCCCCCCGTCCCATCCCGAACATACCTGGGTGTGGAGCCAGCAGAAAAGCAAGCAACAGCAGCCGCCCGGCGCTGCGCGCCCCAGATGGGGCGTCCGGGGGCTCCATGTTCGTCGCACGGTTGCGACTAAGCCGGGACTGCAGCTCTGCGCGAGAGGCCCCACCCCCGCGGCCCCGCCCCACCCCGCCCCGCCCTCGCGGCCCCCCTCATCCCCCTAAGCCTGGGCGCGGGGCCAGGACCTCCCACTGCCCGGAGCCGACCTCCCAGCGCACTGCCAGGCGCGGGGCTCCCTCCGCCCCCAAGCCCAGGGCTGTCCTGGTTTGGTCTGACCAGCGCCTGCGGCGGGGTCCTGACCAACCAGTCTAGCCAGTGTCCTCAGCTGGGATCCCAGCGGGCAACCCCCTCGCTCTGACCAGCGGCCTTGGGGACTCGTTCCCGCTACGGCCAGTAGCTTGGACTTGCCTAGTATATTTTAACCAGCTAACCCCGGCACAACCAGTGGCTTGCGTTGGCGTCTCCCCGTGTGACTAATGGTCCTAAGCATTACCAGTGGTTTGCACTGGCCTTTCCCGCCACAACCAGTGACCCACAGCCGCTTCTCCCAGTATGCCTGATGATGCCTTCCCCTGTAGCCAGAGTTCTGGGCTGTCTCCTCTTTTGACCAGTAGCCTGGAACGGACCAGTTCAATCTCTTTATCTCTAATGGTCTTCAAATTCCGGTTCCACCTAGGCCTCTGTAATGAAGAGGCGGGTGCGGGGAAACTCTCTCCCTCGCTGCCCTTGGAAGGCCCTCCCACTCTTACCCCTATCCGGGGAATCCCTGGAATGCTACCTCCCTTCCTCCTTCCTGCTCCCCCCTTCATTCCCTCCCAGCTTTTGGGGGGAGGGGAGGAGAATCGGGCTGGCAGGAGCAGGTGAGTGGGGGTGGGGAAGAGGCCAGGGCACCTGGAGTCGAAGCAGGAGCAGCCCACCCACCGGTGGGAAGGGAGGGTCACAGGTCAGACTTCAGTGGCTCCTCACAAACCAGGCCAGACTGGGACAAAATCCCCACAGCTGGCTGTGGTGTTGTGGGAAAGGAGATGTTACTGGTTACCTGAGAGAAGCTAGACCAGGACACTGGTTGGATTAGGGGTTCTCTGATCATGTTGGGAGAGGTTTCTCAGCCTGTGGGTGGGGGTGTCCCTACAGCCTGGACTCTGCTGGTCAAACTGGTCAGGGCTAGTTAATCTACTGGTCATGTAGGAGGGCGACCGTTGCACTGGGAAAGAGGACCTTTTAGTGAGTGTTAGCGGCACCATCCCTTCCTCTCTGCCTTCTGGCTGGATCAAGTTCCTCCTCTGAGCTCCTGCATCCCCTGGGCTTAGTCCTCAATCCTGCACACTCTGGCAGGTCCTTGTCTGTGAATGGGTCTGTCTCCTTTACCGGATTGTTAGCCTGTGAAGGCAGAGCCAGGGGTCTCTTGGTCACTGTGGTGTCCTCAGAACTGCCCAGCACAAGACCAGATGCAATGCAGGTGCTTAGGAAAGGTTTGCAAGGCTCAAACTCAGGGGGCGCAGCTCTTATGCAGACTTCACCCAGACTAGATCCTTGCAAGACGCACAATAAACTCACTGGCTGGGTGTGGTGGTCACACCTAGCACTCTGGGAGGATGAGGCAGGTGGATCATCTGAAATTAGGAGTTTGAGACCAGCCTGAGCAAGAGTGAGACCCTGTCTCTACTAAAAATAGAACAACTAGCTGGATGTTGTGGTGGGTGCCTGTAGTCCCAGCTACTCTGGAGCTTGAGAGGCTAAGGCAAGAAGATCCCTTGAGCGCAAGAGTTTGAGGCTGCTGTGAGCTATGATTCCACGGCACTCTACCCAGGGTGACAGAGTGAGACTCTGTCTCAAAAAACAAAACACCCCCCCCACCCAACAATAAACTCACTCATGGACACTGCACTTGCACTCTAAGACAATCCTAAGTGTTCCCAGGGCAAACTTATACATTGAGACCCTGGGCACTCTCTTAGCTCTTCTGTCCCTGGCTTGTGCACTTGCTGCTAGGGCTGGACCCTGGCAGGTAGGTGCCCTCTATCAGTCACTCCAATTCTGCCTTCCTAAGGTACCCAACCAGGTGAGGTTCCAGGGGAGGAAGGACTGGATGAGGTGTGTATGAATACTAGCCACAGCCCCTCATAGACGTGCAGAAACTAGTCTTGTAACATCATCTGCCTTAGTCCCTTATGGTTTATTCCCACAAAACAGCCAGAGGGATCCCGTTAAAATATGAGTCAGCTCATGTCACTCATGTGCAGAGTCCTCCCACTGCTCCTGTCTCACTCAGAATACCCGCTGAAGTTCTCTCCACAGCTCATGAGGTCCTTGATCTGGTTCCCTGTTACCTTCCGGCCCTATCCCCTACTCATTCGCTCTCACCAGCTCCTTTCTTGTCATTTGGCCTCTTCGCTGCCATGCTTTTCCTTCAACACTGGAGGCGGGCACCAGCCTCAGGACTTTTGCACTTTCTTTTCTTGTTGCAGGGCCATTCTTCCCCCTTGTAGCTTCTCCCTGGACTTGCTTCAAATCTCGGCCAGATGTAGTGGCTCACACTTGTAATCTCTATAATCCTAGCACTTTGCGAGGCCAAGATGGGAGGACTGCTTGAGGCCAGGAGTTTGGAACCAGGCTGGGCAACACAGGCTCTGACCCCTATCTCTACAAAAAATAAAAAAAGTAGCCAGGTGTGGTGGTGCATGTCTGTAGTATTAGCTACTTGCGGGGCTGAGATGGGAGGAATTTGAGCCCAGGATTTTGAGATACAATGAGCTATGTTCTCACCATTGCATTCCAGCCTGGGTGACAAAAGGAGACTCTATCTCTTAAAACAAAACAAAATAAAACAAAACACTTCTACGCCAAGCTACTTCATTAAAGAGCTTTTCTTTCCTTGGCAAACATATCTAAAATAGCAACTACTGCTGTCCCAGCCACTCCTTCTCTTATCTGACTACATTTTCTTCCGTGGCATTTATTGCTACCAGATAAGTTGTTTAGTTATTTTTTTGTTTTTTCTTGCACAGATTACAAACTCCAAAAGAACAGGAACTCTCTTTTTCTTTTTTTTCTGAGACAGATTCTCACCATGTTGCCCTTAGTAGAGTGCCAGGGCATCACAGCTCACAGCAACCTCAAACTCTTTGGGCTCAAGTGATTCTCCTGCCTCAGCCTCCCAAGTAGCTGGGACTACGGGCGCCCGCCACAACGCCTGGCTATTTTTTGGTTGCAGTTGTCATCGTTGTCTAGCTGGGCTGGGCTTGAACCCGCCAGCCTTGATGTATGTGGCTGGTGCTCTACTCACTGAGTTACAAGGGGCGCTGAGCCAGAGAACAGGAACTTTCTTATATCTACCAATATATCTGAGGGCATAGGAAGACATACGTAAAATACTCCTGGAACAAAAAGTAATTTTCAGTTCCATCCTTACTGTCTTGTATGTATATACTTACATATTTTCAATAGCAAGCCTTACCTTTTTTCTACCTTTCTGTCATTATTTTATACACAGTGTGTGATAGCTAACTTTATTTTTAAAAATTAATTAATAGGCTGGGTGTGGTGGCTCACACCTATAATCCTAGCACTCAGGGAGGCTGAGGTGGACAGATTGACTGAGCTCAGGAGTTTGAGACCATCCTGAGCAACAGTGAGATCCCATCCCTATGAAAATTACAGAAAATCTAGCCAGACATTGTGGGGGTGCCTATAGTACCAGCTACTTGGGAAGTTGAGGCAAGGGGATTACTGGAGCCCAAGAGTTTGAGGTTGCTATGAGCTATGATGTCACAGCACTCTATCTAGGGCACAGAGTGAGATTCTATCTCAAAAAAATAAAAAAAATAATTAATTATTGCTTTATTTTAATTTTTTTTTTTTTAGAGACACAGTCTCATTTTATTGCCCTTGGTAGAGTGCCATGGCATCACAGCTCACAGCAACCTCCAGTTCTTGGGCTTAGGCGATTCTCTTGCCTTAGCCTCTTGAGTAGCTGAGACTACAGGCACCCACTACAACGCCCAGGTATTTTTTTGTTGCAGTTTGGCCGGAGCCGGGTTTGAACCTGCCACCTTCAGTATATGGGGCCGGTGCCTTACTCACTGAGCCACAGGTGCTGTACTCCCCCTTGTTTTATTTTTTGAGACAGAGTCTCACTCTATTGCTCCAGACTAGAGCTCCCTGGAGTCATAACTCACAGCAACCTCAAACTCCTGGGCTCAAGCAATCCCTGTGCCTCAGCCTCCCAAGTAGCTGCGACTACAGGCACTCCCAAAGTGTTCGGCTTGGCTTGGCACTTGTAGCTCAAGCAGCTAAAGTGCCAGCCAGATACACCAGAGCTGGCAGGTTTGAATTTGGTTTGGGCCAGCCAAACAATGACAACTACAACCAAAAAATAGCCGGGCATTGTGGTGGGCGCCTGTAGTACCAGCTACTCGGGAGGCTGAGGCAAGAGAATTGCCTAAGCCCAGGAGTTGGAGGTTGCTGTGAGCAGTGTGATGTCACAGCACTTTACCAAGGGCGATAGAGTGAGACTCTGTTTCTACCAAAAAAAAAAAAAAATTAAAAAAAATAAATGGCTGGGTGTTGTGGTGGGCACCTGTAGTCCTAGCTACTTGGGAGGCTGAGGCCAGAGAATCGTTTAAGCCCAAGAATTTGAGGTTGCTGTGAGCTGTGATGCCATGACACTCTACCGAGGGCAACAAAGTGAGATTCTGTCTCAAAAAAAAAATTTTTTTTTTGTAGGGAGAGAATGTTAAGTATAGAATAAAAGAACATGTTGATATGGAGCATTCACCAGGGCAGACTGTAGTGGATTTATGGAGCATTCACCGGGGGCACACTGTAGTGGATTTTTTCAGGTAGGGTTACGTGGCAGCAGCTGCCCTCTGCCCCCCATTTAGAGAAATCCCTCTTGTTTGAAGCCAAGAGGACAAATGTTCACTTTCCTACCTCTGTTGGAAAATCCTTCCACACTTTTGAATCGGGAATTAATATTTCACAAGAAGGAGAAATTGGCTAATCTTTTCCAGCCATAGCAGTCGGGGTAGATTCTATTTTCCAAAGATGGCCACAACAATCTCTCATCCCACATGGTCTTCTTTTTTTTTTTT